GCCCAGGTTCGAATCCCAGTAAGGGTAAGCCCAGGTTCGAATCCCAGTAAGGGTGTGGCTAGCTGATGAGAGCTAAATAGCTTGAAATAGATCTATACTAGTCTCCTTTATTTATTTATCAGCATAAACACAACACACACACACACACACACACACATACATATATATGACTCTCTCTCTATAGATAGATAGATAGATAGATAGATAGAGAGAGAGAGAGAGAGAGAGAGAGAGAGAGAGATGAATGAAAGCTGGTAAGGGCCCCTAATCCCTCCCGCCTCAAATAGGGTTTTCATTGAATTGTTGGCTTGTCTAACATGCCGTTTGATCCTTGCAGAGAACTTGAAAGTTTCTGCAGAGAAGCTGGAAAAATAGCTTCGAAGGGTTTTGACGCTTGTCTTTTTGCTTCGTCTCGCAGCGAGAATTGGGAAGCAGCACCCTGACCGGGTGGTAGAAACCAGCACGCTTTCCAGCGTCCCTCCTCCAGATATCACCTATGTCCTCTCCCTCCCCGAATCCATTGCCGAAAACGGGTTGCTCTCTGCACTGCAGCTGGAAGCCATCGTTTACGCCTGCCAGGTACGCACGACCCGAGTTTGGGCAGTTCTGATGAAACACGGCCGAGATGGGTCATAGGTTTCCGAGTGGCTGGGATTTGCTCCTGTAGTGCTGGATTCCCCCCTGTTTGATTCCTTTTTGCTGGGTTTCTAGGAACACGAGAACTTGCTTCCCAGTGGTCAGAGAGCTGGATTCCTGATAGGAGACGGAGCGGGCGTAGGGAAAGGCCGGACCGTTGCAGGGATCATCTATGAAAATTATCTGAAGGGAAGGAAGAAGGCTCTGTGGTGAGTGATTGCCTCCCCCGCGTTCTGTTTTAAAGCTCTCAGGAATTGCATTGAAATCTCTTTTCTGTATCCCTTTCCTAATTAATAGGGTTCCCGAGGCTTATCCCCCCCCAACTTAGTTCAAGAAAGAGAATTTGAGTAGCCATTCTATAATAGGAGTTCACTCTCTCCTCTCTTTCTCTCCCTCCTTTCCCTCTCCTTCCCTCTCTCTCTCCTCTCTCCCTCCCTCTCCTCTCTCCATCCCTCTCTCTCCTCTCTCTCTCATCTTTCTCTCCTTTCCCTCCATTCCCTCCCTCTCTCCTCTCCCTCTCTCTCTCCTCTCCCCTCTCTCCCTCCCTCCCTCTTTTTCTCTCCTCTCTCTCCTTTCCCTCTCCTTCCCTCCCTCTCTCTCCTCTCTCCCTCCTTTCTCTCTCCTTCCCACTCTCTCTCCTCTCTCCCTCCCTCTCTCTCCTCTCTCCCTCCCTCTCCCTCCTCTCTCTCTCGTCTCTCTCTCCTTTCCCTCTCTCTCTCCTTCCTTCTCTCTCTCCACTCCCCCTCTCTCTCCTCCCTCCCTCCCACTCTCTTTCTCTCTCTCCTCTCTCTCCTTTCCCTCTCTTTCCCTCCCTCTCTCTCTCCCTCCCCCTCTCTCCTCTCTCCATTGCTCCCTCCCTCTCTTTCTCTCTCCTCTCTCTCTCCTTTCCCTCCCCTCCCTCCCTCCTCCCCTTTTCTCTCTCCTCTCCCCCTTCTCTCTCCTCTCTCTCTTCCCCCCTCTCTTCTCTCTTTCTCTCGTCTCTCTCCTTTCCCTCCCCTCCCTCCCTCTCTCCTTCCCTGTCTCTCTCTCTCCTCTCTGTCTCTCCTCTCTCCCCTCTCTTCCTCCCTCTCTTTCTCTCTCATCTCTCTCCTTTCCCCTTCCTCCCTTTCTCCCCCTCTCTGTCTCTTGTCTCCATCCCTCTCTCCTCTCTCTCTCCTCTCCTCTCTCTCTCCTCTCCTCCCTCTCCTCTCTCTCTCTTCCTCTCTCCTTTCCCTCTCCCTCCCCCCCATCTCTTTTACATTCTGTTGAGTCCAATACTCTTGGCATTTTCTTGGCAAGGTTTTTCAGAAGTAGCTTGTAATTGTCATTTAGGCTCAGTTATAAGTCAAGGACTGGCTGTAAATGAAAGTATGGTATTTGAGAGGCCAGTCAAGCGGCTTCCTTTGTAAACCTCTCCCCCTGTTCTTTCTGGTTCTTCCGCTCATCCACCCCCACCCCCCCTTTCAGGTTCAGTGTCTCAAATGATCTGAAATACGATGCTGAGAGGGACCTGAAGGATATTGAAGCCCCTCACCTCCCTGTCCATGCTTTAAACAAGGTACGTTTTTTTCTTCTCTCCTTTTGCTTCCTTTCTCTTCCCTCCCACCCCAACCCCCATGGGGAAAGCTGACTGGCAGCACCGGGAACTCGGCACGGGGGATTCTGCATTTGCCCATATTTATTCTTGTTAACGTTTGTTTATGATAAATAGATGGTTTCATTTACAGAAATTGAGATACCAGTAACCATGGACTCTCTTGAGTTTGGATGTTTTACTTGTGTTTTGGTGCCTTTGAGAATATCATAGATTGGATGGCATTGCATAGTTATTGAGAGAAAGAGAGAAAAATGTCCTTCCTTCCCTCCCCCTCCTGCTTCCTTCCCTCCTTCCCTCCCTCCTTTCTTTTCTTCCTTCCTTCCATCCCTCCTTTCTTTTCTTCCTCCCTCCCTCTCCCTCCTTCCTTCCCTCCCTCCTTCTGTTTCTTTTCTCCCTCCCTCCCCCTCTTTCCTTCCTTCCCTCCCCCTCTTCCTTCCTTCCTTCCCTCCCTCCTTCCATTTCTTCCTCCCTCCCCCTCATCCTTCCTTCCTTCCATCCCTCCTTNAAGTAGCCTGCAGTGCTGCATTTAGCCACTGCGCCACCTCAGCTCTGTTAATGTTTTTAGAGAATCTAAAAAAATCTGTTAATGTTTTTAGAGAATCTAATATAAATAATGTCAGGTATGAACAATTAAGTCCACCTGCGAAGGTTTCAATTTATTGTTTTATTGCTCAAGCCCACATACAGGAATCTTCTTGGACTCACAGTTTGCACCTGGGTAAAACTAGGTAAGATTCAACGGCAATCGAGGGAAGTTGGAGTTTGTCCTCTTGTGATTATGTAGAGACTCTAAGCTAATTTCCCATTTGACTCCACCCACTCTCAATCTCTCTCCAAATGGTAGCCCTTCCGTATCTTCACCTCTGATTCTTGAAGCATCACGCGTGGACTTGCTCTGTTGCCATTTTGCTACTCGCCTGTCTTGACATTTCTGGTTTTTTTTCATTCCATTCCAGTCCCAAACTCAGGTAGAAGAGGAAGAGGAGGGCGACGATGACGAAACAGAGGAACTGGGTCACACAGAGACGTATGCCGATTATATCCCTTCCAAATGTGAGTGGATCAACCCAACTGGTTTCTGCTTCAGATTTAGCAGATCTGCTCCCAGGCATTTTCTCATGTGGCTAGCCCTGTCTTCCCCAGCTTGGTGCTCCCAGTTCTATTAGACTTCGCTTCCCAGAATCCTCAAGCGGCAAAGCTGTTGACAATTCTAGGAAGTGGGAAATTTAATCTTTCTAGGGTTTCCTAACCTTGGCCACTTTAAGACATATGGACTTCAACTCCCAGAATTCCCCAGCCGGCCATGAAGTCCATGTCTCTTAAAGTGGCCCAGTTTGGGAAACCCTTTTCTAAGCAACCAATGGAAGGCAGGGGTAATGTTGTGTTGTTCAACTTCCTGACTCTGCAAATATTTGAAGCCTAAACTGTGTGGGTGGTAGCGGGTGGGGCAGGTTGTGTGAGTAGGAAATCCCCCAGAACTCCTTACAACCAAATCACCGTTTCCCTCTTAGCATATCTGTAAACAGGATAACCATAAGTGCTTCCTTGGTTTCAACATGATAGTAGCATAACAAGGGGCAATGAAACCATAGTGACTAAATTAGTAGACCAGCAAAATACTGTGGACATAATATACTTAAACTTCAGCAAGGCATTTGACAAGGTAGACCACAACCTACTTTTTCGTAAGCTAGAAAAAAAGTGGGATAGAGAGCTTCACCACCAGATGGATTCACAACTGGCTGACCAACCGCACTCAACGTGTAGTCCTCAATGGANGAATAGAATAGAATAGATAGAATAGAGTAGATAGGATAGGATAGATGACAGATAGGATAGATTAGATATAGATAGGTAGATGATAGAGTGATAGATAGACAGAATAGAATAGATAGGATAGGATATGATAGATAGGATAGATGACAGATAGGATAGATTAGATATAGATAGGTAGATAGATGATAGCGTGATAGATAGAGTAGAATAGAATAGATAGGATAGATGACAGATAGGATAGATGAGATATAGGTAGGTAGATAGATATAGATCTATAGGTAGGTAGGTAGCTGATAGAGATAGGTAGGTACCGTAGGTAGACAGGCAGGTAGCAGGCACAGGTGAGAGAAGAGGAGTTTCTCAAACTCAGCAACTTTTTGTGGACTCCAACTCCCAGAATTCCTCAGCTAGCATGGGAGAAGGTAGAAGGCCTGATCCACTGAAATAATGCATCTAACAATTCCTTCTCCCATCCAACCCACCGGCCTGTCTTCTTCGGCAGGTGCCTCTGAGCCAAAGAATATGATTTACATGAGTCGGCTGGGAATATGGGGAGAAGGCACCCCCTTTCGCTCCTTTGATGACTTCCTCCACGCCATCGAAAAGAGGTAAAGCTGCATCCGGTTATCACAGAACCCCAGAATTGGGGAGGGGGGGGGCCTCATCTAGTTCAACCTCCTGTTCAGTGCAGGATCTCCTTTAGCACCTCTGGCAGGTGACTCCCCCTCCTCCTCTATTTCTAGTGAAGAAACCCCCAGTTCATGAGGCAGCCTGTTCCACTGGCCAACACTTCCTCTTGATGTTTGGTCCGAATGGCCACCTTTGTAGGTTTAATGCCTCTGGGGCATTAAAAATAAACCCCATTGCATTTTCCATTTGACAGGTTTTTTAGATTTGAAGGCTAAAATTGACCCAGCCTGGAAAAGGATATTATTTTTTCCTAATGTCACCTGTCTCCATCAACATTTTATCAGGCTGCAAAAAGTGTTGCAGTTGTTTGTGCAGCCTTATCTTCTTTTCATCTGTTTGACTTGTGTGTCTGGCTTTTGAGAGGCCTGGGAGTTTTTCCAACACACCTAGCAATGTATTTTTCTAGCAAACATTGACGTCACACGCTATCTCAAAACTCTGCTTGTGGTGTTTTGATTGTTTTCTTTTTAGGGGGGAAAAAGGGCTTATAAATACGAATGAATGAATAAATGAATGAATGAATTTGTGGTGGTGATGGAAAATCCACAGCTCTAAAGGTCACCTGTGCCTCTTGTCCTCCTCCTCCTCCCCCCCCCCCACAGAGGTGTTGGGGCTATGGAGATCGTTGCCATGGATATGAAAGTGAATGGGATGTACATCGCTCGACAACTCAGCTTTTCCGGAGTCACGTTCCGGATAGAAGAAATCCCACTGGACGCGGCATATAAGGACGTGTACAACAAGGCAGCGAAGCTGGTAAGCTTTTATGCTTTGGGGTTCTTCTGATATAGCTGGACTCACTTGCTGGAGCCACCTGGAGTCTATGGTCAGCTGGCTGGGGAATTCTAGGAGTTGAAGTCCGTCAGGCTTAAAGTTGCCAAGGTTGGAGAGCTCTGCTGTGGGGGGGGGGGATACTGGTATTTCCCCCCCCCTCTTTTCTCCTGAGGGCCAAGCAATATGGACTTTGTAATATTTGCAGGATGGGTTTTGTAATGCTATTGAACTGGCGCTGGGGAATTCTGGGAGCTGAAGTCCACAAGTCTTAAAGCTCCCAAGTTTGGACACCACTGCTGTAGCTGGTTTGGAAGAGGAGAGTCCAGAGTATGGACCCCCTCAGCATCTCTTGGGTCCCTAATCGGGGTTTTGGGACAGTGTGGTGTAATGGTTAGAGAAGGAGCAGTGAGACCTGGGTCCAAATCTCTGCTTAGCCCCAGGAGCCCTCAAAGTTTTCGGCTAGACCCTCCCTCTCAGCCCAAGAACCAATGAAGCAGAGTGGGGAAGGGGGCTGGTCTAGGAAGAGGGAGATCCACACTCTACTCCACCACTAGATGCAGAAGCTCATTGGCCGACTTGGGGCCAGTCCCTCCCATTTTGCCAGGAACTTGGAGAGGGAAAATCTAGTTTCTCCGCCCCTTCCCCCTTAGCCACGGAAACTCATTGGCTGACTCTGGGCTGGCCCCGCCTTCCCAGCCCAAGAGCCAATAGGGCAAAAAAAAAAATTCTAGATTTTTTTTCCTAAATAAATAAAATAATGAAATAAATAATTTAAAAAACGGATTATGAGTGGGAAGACCCAGATTCTAATCCCTCCTCAGATACAGAAGCTTGTTGGCTGATTTTAGGCCAGTCCCACCTACTTAGCCAGTATAGTGAAGAAGGAGAGGAAAAGTCCAGTTCCTTGTTCCCCCCTCAAACATTGGCTGACTCTGGGCTGTTCCCTCCCTCTCAGCCCAAGAACCAATCAGGTATATAGGGCAAAAAAGATGGATTAGGAGTGGGAGGGCCCAGGTTCTAATCCCTCCTCAGGCACGGAAGCTCATTGGCTGGTTTGGGGCAAGTCCCTCCCCTCTCACAGGGTTAAATACAGTATAAAACTCATACTAAATAAAATCTTGAAAATGCTATTAAATAAAGTAGAATAAATAAAACACTCTCCCCCGCCCCCTTTGTCTGCAGTGGGCAGAAGCCCTGGTGGTTTTCCAAAAGGCTGCGGACCTCATTGGCCTGGAGTCCCGGAAGTCTCTGTGGGGTCAGTTCTGGGGGGCTCACCAGCGCTTCTTCAAGTACCTCTGCATTGCTGCCAAAGTCCGGCGCCTGGTGGAGCTGGCCAAGGAGGAGCTCAGCAAGGGCAAGGTGAGGACGGAGAAGGGAGAGCCTGTCCTTTCCCTTCCTTCTGCCTCTCGTTCTTCATGAATGTGAGCGAGAAGGTTTTTCTTTCGATTAACCATTCAAATATTCTCCTTTTCCTCCTCCTCCTCCTCCTCCTCTTCCTTCTCTTTCCCTCCTCTTTCCCTCCTTCCCTCCCTCCTCCTCTTCCTCCTTTTCCTTCTCGTTTTCCTTTCCCTCCCTCCTCTTCCTCCTCCTTTTCCTTCTCCCTGTCCTTTTCCTTCTCACTTCCTCCTCCTCTCCCTTCTCCTTCCCCTTCTCTTCCCCTTCCTCCTTCCCTCCTCCTCCTCCTTCACTACCTCTCTTCCTCCTTCTCCTTTTCCTATTCTTCCTCCTTTTCCTTCTCATTCTCCTTTCCCTTCCTCCCCCTCCTCCTTCACCCGTCTTCCTCCTCCTCCTTTTCCTCTTCCTCCTCCTTTTCCTTCTCATTCTCCTTCCTCCCCCTCCTCCTCTTCCTTCTCATTCCTTCCCTCCCTCCTCCTCCTCCTTCACCCCCTGTCTTCCTCCTTCTCCTTTTCCTCCTCCTCCTCCTTCTCTTCCTTTTCTTTCTCTTCCTCCTCCTCCTCTCCTCTTTCTTTCTCTTCCACCTCCTCCTCTCCTCTTTCTTTCTCTTCCACCTTCTCTTCTTCCCTGTCCTTTTCCTTCTCACTTCTTCCTCCTCCTCTTCCTTCTCATTCCCTTTTCCTCCCTCCTCCTCCTTCACCACCTCTCTTCCTCCTCCTCCTTTTTCTCTTCTTCCTCCTTTTCCTTCTCATTCTCCTTTCCCTCCCTCTCCTCCTCCTCCTTTTCCTTCTCTTCCTTCTTCTCTTCTTCCTTCTCCCTGTCCTTGTCCTTTTCCTTCTCACTTCCTCCTCCTCATCTTCCTTCTCCTTTCCCCCCTCCCCCTCCCTCCTCCTTTACCTCCTTCCCATTTTCCTTCCTCTTCCTCCTCTGTCTCCTCTTCCTCCTTTTCCCACACCTCCCACTCCTCCCATCACTTTCAATTCCTGAGTTTTATCAGCCAGTTCTGTTCCACATCTTGATGTTTGCTCTTTTCCACATGCTGGCCATCCTTGGTCTCATTTCTTCCCCGGCTTGCCTTCCGCAGTGCGTGGTGATCGGGTTGCAGTCGACGGGGGAAGCCCGCACCCGGGAAGTCCTGGATGAGAACGAGGGGCACCTGAACTACTTTGTCTCGGCAGCCGAGTGAGTTTTCCGTGGGGGAGGATGCACGTTTTGTAAAGTCCATCACATCGCTAGGAACCCCCCCCCCCCAAATTTTGCAGAAAGCACGGAGGGAGCCCCCGAAGGTCGCTGCTCCGTTGCCTTGTGATATGGACGTTACCCTTCATGCGGCCTTTAAGAAACCCGGAACTTCCTTTCCATGATTGACATTCTCAAAGAAGCTGCCCTTCTTTTTGGCCTTTGATTGGCACCCGGTGGAAATGCCATTCAATTGGCTGCCTTAGAGTTTCCCAACCTCTGCGTCCTCTGTCTGAAACAAGCCGCCAAGCTCAGGCCACGCCATTCCCACAGCCACCTCATTCTGGTGTTTTGTTTTTTCCCCCTCCCTTTGGCCATCTTGATTGTGTGCGTGCCCTCGCTGCTTCCTCCATGACCTACCATGCATTTGGGGAGGGGCGTGTGTGGGTGTGTGAAGACGGGAGACATCTCAGGCGCATTCCCCCACCCACCCCCTTCCCCCAAAAGCTCTGTCATCAACATCGAGACCATCCCACCACAACCCTCTTTCCACCCCCCTTTTTTGCATTGTTTAGTCCTTTCCTATCTGGTCTTGTGAAGACTCCGGTCTGTAGCCAAGCAAGAAGGACAAAGCTTGCCTAATTTGAAAGAGAGCATGTCGTTATCCGTCCTTCTCATCAGCTGCTTGCTTATGTAAGGCCTTACATGTGAGTCCCACCCCCTCCCAGACCTTCCCTGCCTCAGAACAAACTTTTCCAGAGTTTCCCTTAGACCCCTGATGGCGAACCTATGCCATGCGTGCCAGAGGTGGCACGCCGAGCCCCCTCTGTGGCCACGCATGCCCTCACCAGCTGCTCCTCTGGTTTCTGGCGCTCACACGCGCATTGGCCAGCTAGACTTCACAGGTGCCTGAAAACAGTCCCCCAAAACAGCCAAAAAACCAGGCCATTTTTGGGCTGTTTTCAAGGCATTTTTCGGCCCATTTTCAGACTGTTTTTGAAAAATGCTCTGAAAACAGGCCGAAAAAATGCCTCCCAAATAGGCATGTGTGGGGCGGCCAGTTGGTCTTTAGGTTTCCAGCGCTCCAGTGTGCATGCGCTCACATGCACACACGTTCCGGTTTAGGCACCGGAGCCGAAAAGGTTTGCCATCACTGTCCTAGATTCTCCCACATCAAAAATGCCCCTTTCTGTTGGCTTTACCTTGCTTGATACAATAGCATTCTCTGACATCATAGCAATTGGCATCAAGAGCTGCCAAGCCAGACATCTGGGCTGCCTAGAGCGGCCTTTCTCTACCCTTGACCAATTTAAGATGGGTGGATTCCAACTTCCCAGAATTCCCCCAGCCGGCATGCTGACCAGCAAGGGGGTGGGGAGAGGGGATGGCTCTGCACGAGGGGTGGGTAAGAACGCAGCTCCATTTGCGCCAGCGGTGGGCACTCACAGACACAACGCTCGCACAAATGGAGCTGCACGTGTGCCCCTGCTCGCCCGCCGCTCGTAGAAGTGGAGCTGCGGAGACACACACACACACACACACACACACACACACACACTCGCCTGCAGGTTCCGAATGGGCCATGGCCCGGTACTCGGCTGCAGCCAGGGGTTGGAGACCCCTGTTCTAGACCATGGAAATGTTTGTTAAGCTGGCATTTGAATGCAAATCTACCGTATTTTTCGGAGTATAAGACACATCAGAGTATAAGACCCACCAAAGTTTTGAAGAGGCAAATTTAAAAAAAAGTTTTTGCACTCTGCAGACCTCCCAAAAATGGCCCGGTTTTTTTTCTTTAAAAAAAAGGGCATGCATAGCCTTTAGGAGCCTTGTAGAGTGCTCCGGGGGGGGGGGGGGGGGGGAGAAGCAAAAAAGGCCTGTTTTTCGCAAAAATGGGCCAGTTTTTTTCAAAAAAGGGCATGCATAGCCTTTAGGAGGCTTTTAGAGTGCTCTTGGGGGCTGGTGAGGGCAAAATTGAGCAAAAAGCTG